AATAAACAACCTTTATTACATTTAAGAGCAATCTGACATCGCGACGGCGGTTAGTTAGACAATAAATAACCAAATGTAGATATCCGGGCTACGGTAGTTTATTTCCCGGGGGCGCGACACGCAATCTGTCCGCTACTAGCGCAATTCGTTACCGAAACTGTGTCGTGTAGTTGTTGATTGCGTGCTCTTACCAAATGTTTTATTAGGCCAAAACTATAATAAATTTGATATAACAAAGATGTACTAATCGCTTCCCCCTTTTTTTCTGTGTTAAAAAGAAATGAAATATGAATTTTCTCTGTCAATCAAACAATCAGGTGACTTGTTCACTAGTATCACACCATCTATTTAAAAAAAAACAGTGTAAATATGTTTTTTATTTCATAAAATTAAAATAAGATAACATGAAAGTTACACCGAAAATTATGTTTATCTAATTATCACAACCACTTATAAAAGATAAAGGAAATTCATTTATTTCAAGGGCAACATTATTTTCATGTTTAAATTAGCAAAAAATAACGTTGCAAATTTGCTCATGGACGATTCCAATAGTCAAAACAGTTAACGTAATAAATATATCGATGACGGAAGTAAAAATATTTGTTGGATAACGCCGCGATTAAGAAAATAAACACGTTTTCAGAAATTTGTTACGTTCATTAATGAATCGATATTTTTAAAAGTTAACGTGAATATGATATTTATTAAATTGAAGCAATCTGACGTGAGTTAGTTCTTTTCCAGCTGTTATTTTACTTGGTAAGACGATATAAACAAACAATAAAACCAAATTTCTAAGAGCTTTGAAGCCAAATGTTTCCATATTAATTTGTAAACTTTACCACTCAGATATTTTTTCATTCTAAAGAAATATAAAAAAAAAACAATCTTAGATTGTGCCTGTACGTGGGAATCATTATTTTGCGCGTTACTTGATTTAAAAATACGGAATTAATTTTATTTTGAAAATAAATTGATATTACCAAAATTGTTCCACTTTATTATGTTAATTATATAAAAACTTATTCTGGTCTCTAAAAGTCAAGGCAAAGTGCAAAAATAATATTATCCCAGATAATTTTAAGCTCATGTTTCATTCAAGTATTTCATGACCTTTGCTTTGCTGAATTACAATGATTCAAAATTTTAAAAAATAGCAAAGGTTATTACAGTCGATAAATTGGAATAAAATATCTATAATTTTTAATCTTTAGATATGTATGTAGAGGACCGCATACAGTGGAATGCAATAGTGGAATCCATTTAGACGAGACATACCCAACAGTGGATAGACAAAGATAATAATGATGTGAGGATTAAAAATTTATCACTTTACGATTCCTGTCTATAACGAAACAGTAATGTGACCTACTTAATAAAAGAAATAAAATACATGCATTAAAAACAAAACACAAATGTATAACAGGTATGGTATAACAAATATCAAAAGGGTAAAAGTAACTCATTGTTAACGAAAAGTATCTCGTAGCAAGGACAAAGCTCATGTTACGAGTGACGTCGTAGCATCTCGATATATCAGTGCTACGCCGCTACAGTGCCTCATTGTCGCTACGACTCGTAGCTGTCTCCGCATTGTGTGATAAACAAAGGGGTGTCTATCAAAAAAATGCGAGTAACGTTTACCATATTTTTATAGTATTTAGTTACGTAAATATATTGTTTATGTATCAGTATTGATATACTTACTAAACCTAAGTTGTCTTGTAACTTGGTTGACTGAATAGTTTTAGGCTGTTTTAGTACATCTTTTTTTACGTTTTTTTTTAATCAGAGGAAGCAAATTTAAAAAAATATATGTAAATATCTAAAAAGGAATTCATTTAAAAGGTACTCCGAAGTAAATTCGAAATAATAATTATAATAGGGTAGATTCCAGTGACCTTTGGTGAACTTACAAAAATACTAGGATTTAGACAAATATTTCTTCGATACGCCGCAAGGAGTTATATACAACGGATCAACTGGGGTTAAGATGCGTGAACAGTTCTGTATTTAGGATACTCATAAATTCTTTTTACAAAAAACAACGTGATAGAAGAGGACAATGTCCACAAAATTGTTATTCTCATAGATCGTAGACCTTTGGTCTACAAAAAATTTTGCAAGTTATATATTTATTTGACAATAATATTTTATGTAAAAAAATTATATTGTAAAGAGCAGAAAAACCTTGCTTCGTTCGTATGTTTTTTTAGGTTTTTAATTGCTTTTAACCATGGGCATTTGAAAGTCAAGATTTCGTTCCTTCACAATCTTCATTTTTATTCATTTAAAAGAAATACTTAAATTACATTATATTGATTATTAACAATCAATGTTTCTGTGTTTTTAATGGAATCGTCATCTTTGGGTTATCCAATTCTATAAAGTAGTAAAATATTACATATTTACATCTATTTATGCGACAAACACTTTAAGTTACATTCATGTTGTATTAATAACTTACGTAAGTCCGAGTACATTGCACGTACAGTCATTCAAAACTTCAATACATAGTTCATAAGGTTGCAGTAAGTTAAAATAACTTGACCTTTAATACAGTGCGAACTCTACAAATCCAGTTGATCCGCGCTGTTTCCGAGGAAATTGGCTTAGAAGTAAAACGCAGTCTGAAGTTATGGTTTCCTGGTAGTCTGAGCTATTTTAAGGATTTTGTAGATTTATTAATGAACCTTTACATTTAAATTAATTGCTAATTATAAATGAATTAAAAAATATACAAATTATATATGCCTCGAAATTTGTTATAATAATTCTTTTACTATAACGTTATTTACATGCATTTTTTTCCTACAAAATGATACATAAAGCATCGTTTATCGCATTCCATAGACAGAACGTACAAAGAGTTTTATCTTAAGATTTACTAATCTATTCAATATGAATAGGAATCCCACATCCGGGCTGATGTTACTTTCATTTGTCTACCCCAAAAACAATGGCAATTTCTTTGATGTACAATCGTTTCCAACAATCTCATTCTAGTGTTATTGCTTACTCGCGGTATGTGGAACGCGTACTAATTTTCTCTTGTCATATAACTCTCAATAGTTATTATTATGTTAACTAATTGGAGCGTTGGTGGCTCAGTGGTAAGTACTTGTAATCTGCAGGTCCGGGTTCCATTTATAAATGTGTTTTTCGAATTTTGATTTTCCTAAGTACATTTATCCGACGTTATTACAGTGAATGAAAAAATCACACAAGTAATTCAAAGATGTGTATGAAGTTAACCAATCCTAAGACTAAGATCTAGTCATCCCTTTTTTTTAAAGGGGAGAATGCGTTACGCATACCGGGTACTTCGGGAACGACATTCCGGTTATAAAGGACTCTCTCCACATCACTTGCCCTAGAAGGAAAGTTACATGGAGCCTACCCACTAAATCCCCGCTGTTTCCTTCGACTCACTGTTTACCGGGGTGTGGGCAAATGTGAATATTCTTTGCTCACCGCGGTAAGTCATCCCAAATTTAAGGTAGAATCTGAGGCCCTAGGCGGAGACCTATATGGGCTACCGATGATAAACTGTTTATTATGAAAAAAGTACACTTCGTCGGCACGTCCGTACGCACAGGTGACAAATGTCACAGTGAGCCTAAGTTTATGAGAAGGGAGTTGTGTATGATATATACTCGTACGTTGTTGGTCACAGATGCGTTTTCCGGAAGTTGTCAGTTACTGTCTATCCTAATGAAAGGTGGGCGGAGATGCGTCGCCTTCAACTTGGCTTATTTACACGACATTGAAATTTATTTATTGTTTCCAAATGCTAACGAATATATGAGTAAATGACACTTTTTGACGAATATTTATATGTTACTAGCTGTCGCTCGCGACTCCGTCCACACGGAGTTAAAAAAACACAATTGGTAGTCAATATGTTCATCCAGATTATGTTCTATATGTATACCAAATTTAATCGAGATCCGTTCTGCTGTTCTGGAGATACCTTCAAACAAACATCCATCCATATATCAAAACATTCGCATTTATAATATGAGTAAGATATTAGTAAGATTTATTACGAATATATGTCAATAGTATACATATTATATTTAAGTTATCTCTGGTTAATAAGAACCTTTGTACATGTTGTTGTAATCCACAAGATTTTAAGTACTTGACGCGACATATTTGGCAATCCTTGCAAAAGGTCATCGCCCTGCAGTGAAAGTCTTTCAGCTTATTTCGATGACATAATTTCATGGATTTCTAATTTAAATTCAACTTTCAGAGGCTTCCAGTAAGCCATTGTACGAAATACACTAGTTCACAGAACGATTATGTAACCAATAATTGGTTTATATAATCATTGTAACGCGTAAATTTAATCTTTAGATTATTGGCACGTAATAAAAGAGATAAATGACGATAATACATATTTGATATATGATCTCTAAAAATCATAAAATAAGAAGAATGTAATCAAGAATCTGCCAAAACCCATAAAAATAATTTAGGAAAATCAATGTTTATTACATGTGAACAATTGCATCCTTGATCTGATTTTTTTTTCGTACAAGCATTGTGAGGCTCTGTGCTGTTGTTAAAGATAAAACAAAACACAAGACATATAATTTCGTTCGCATTCCAGAGAGCTTGTGCTAATTTCTTAACGTCGAGACATTAATAAAAACATCAACGATAATCACGGTCTTAATAAACGTATTTATACCATAATGAGGTCTGTACACAGCGCTACCAAATACGGCGTTCAAAAGTACACGAGGATTTGTAAAGTCGGTCATCCGACGATAGGATTGAAAGAATCTGGTCAGCTGTGTCTCGCTGCACGCCTGTCAGAGATCAACGCTCCCATTGTGTCGGAGTAGGTAGTGACAGAGAAAATTAGGCTCCGGATTCCACTGATATTTTCGTGAATACGAAAAACGCTTGCGGGGCGGGCGGCCGTAGCTAGCTACGCGCGTATATATAGAAGTGCACAGCTGCGCGCCGCCCAGTCGTCCGTCGAAGCTCCACGTGATAAGACGTTAAACTCAAGCTGAGCTTTCTGTCGACAGCAAACAAACCAACTGTTTAGCAAGAACAGTATTTTATGTCAGTGTTAGTTTTAATTCATAGTGTATAGTGACCTGTCCGCCGATAGTGTCCAAGAACTGACCGGCTTCCTATCAACCTACCTTTGAAACCGGTTTCTCTAACCATATTGTGTCATAATCAGGTGAGTCTGAATAATTTGACATTTCATTATTAATATTCATATCCCATTTATAATTTAGACTTAACTTATATGTTTACAAAAAGATTAATAAATAGATGAAGCTTACAGATTTCTCTTGTGTACATTCATTTTAATTTTGCAACGATTCTTTTGTTTGACAGTGCAACGACATGTTGTTTTTGGGTTTTTGGAAATATAACATGCGCAAATAAAAATATTTTAGCTAAATATTAAGCTATTTTCATTTATTAGACATTGTATTTGTTTTTACAAGCTTTTTTTTAATATTAACTTTTCCTTCGGGCGTTATGGATATTTGTTGTACCAGACTGTTTTGGTGAATTCGATCATTTTCTGAGGTAAATTTATGCTTTGAAGGTACAAAGAGACCACTATGTAGACCTCTTTTATGAATAAAAGACATATTATTGATTAATAAAACAATTTTCAAACATTTGCATGTGATATTTTGTTTTTAAACAATATTAGAATTATTTACCATTAAATTTAAAACTATTTTTAAGTACAGTCTGGGGTGTGGTAAAATTTAAAATAACATAACTCTTTCTACGAGCATTTACTACGCATATTTACATGAGTTGCGGCGATGAAATGCAACTATAGTTGCGTGCACTATTTGTTTGTGTTAATATACTGTTTTTTTCAGATTAAGTATTTTTTCTTGACATTAAATCGGTTAAAAAAAGATTTACATTGATGTAGCCTTTTATATTTAGACCTAATTAACTTAAAGTGTAAGGAAATTACCTTTTAACGGTTATGTTACTTTTCCAAAACCGATCCAAATATGATTTATAGGTAAAATGAGTAATAAAAAAATAATGTATAAAATAAAATAAGTTTTTTTTTCATAATAATATATCTTTCAGCCTATTTTTACCATACTAGCGGTTGAATAAGCTTAAAAGGGAAAGTTTTGAAACTAAATATATTTATCGTTCGTAAAATTCAAAACATTTTTCTGACACGTGCCGACGTTTGACCTTCAAACGCATAATCGATACTGCACATTTGTTGTTGAACTTTGACTTCAGTAGGATAAAAATTTTATGATATACTAACTTTTGTAACAAATTAAGTAGTATATATGCTTTTTAAGATTGTAATATATCTCTGTACTAAATTTCATCCAGATCCATTCAGTCGTTATGTAGTTACGTGATAACATACACACATTCATCCAATTTTTTATATTTATAACATTTGTAAGATGTATGATCTACAAACACATGAGTCAGTTCTCTCGTACGCAATATTATGATGTAGAATCTCAGAGAAAGCTGCGAAGATTTACAAACGCAATATGATCTCAGTAATCAAAATAAACTCCAGACTAAATCTGGTGTAGACTGCTCTGACCATGAGTACACAATGTGTGGCTTTGTTATACAATTCCTTCGTCTTACTTTTAGTTTGATGCATAGTTTTATTAAGCCGAAAATAGTAAACAGATTTCTCTAATTACATTTATTTCAAGACTTATTTATATCCCAAATCAATGGATTAAGCTAAATTTAAATTCGTATACAGAGCAGTGTGATTTTACCGTCGACATTTACAATAACATCCGCTGCAATTAATGAGTTCCGAATTCAAAAATTAGAACATAAACTCAGTCGCCGGTCAGGTACGGCTTATCGAAACAAATGAGCGACTCAAAAATGCCAAGCGATTCAGCGATGACTATAAATGCCAAGATAATATTGTCTCAAGTTTAAGCATAACTTACAATAAAGTTGCTGCCAAAAGTTTAATATTTACTTAGTATTTATTTCTGCCACTGAGCTTATTCCTTTATTCCTTTTTCAAATTATTTTACATTCACCATTCACAAAACGTTTAAAAATAAATCATTCACATTTAAAACTAATACAGGTCTGTTTTATGCCGTAACCAAATACCGCGGCATTTTCCTAGCGCCGGCATTAGCACCGCGTAGGCACCCCGCTGGCCATACATTTCCATTATCAACGTAAAGCGCGGACAGAATAAACTCCCGAACCACTTGTACTGATAAATAGCCGTCAAGTACTTTTCCAGGCACGTTAATGGAGTGATTAAGCTTACCAGACATGGTAAAATTTATTTAAAAGAAAAATACTAAAAAACATCCAACTAAAAGTTCTTCGTTACCAAAGCAAGTCGGAAATATTAAATTAAATGCTAATATTATATTTTGATTTCGTAAAAACAGTTGTCGATTCTGTAAATTTTATAATCTTAGTTCCTATTACATAATGTACAAATAAAATACATAAAGGCATCTATCAGAATTTTATTTATAATTCTATCTAATTAATCGGAATTGTAAACATCTCCTGATTTGGAGTTCTTATTCACAAGCGATAATGAGCTCAGTGTATCGAAGCCAAGGATCTTGACATTGCCAACCGCATGATGAGTTACAGCTCTCAGCGTTTGTAAAGTGACGTAACGTAACCTACGCGACTACTCCACAAGTGTTCGTTGTGTGCAAAATATTTGAAACATGTTTCGTTACAACGTGTACCATTTTATATTGATTTATAATTAATAATTTTACATATCGATTTTAATTTAATAACCAATTATATTAAGAAAAATCAGATATGTAGGAACAAAATTACATAATAGTATGGAAGAATAAGAATTTCGATAACGTTTACGCAATAGATTTAATAAATTATTTATTGAGAAATATTTGCGAGTACAATCGAAATAAAAACCAAACATTCTTTATAATAGCAGTGAAATTGTACTCCGTCTGTGGAATTCGTCAATAAAGTTATTTTTATAAGTATCGCCTCTAAGAATATCAGTTGATTTGATTTATGAGTAACGCCGCGACTACGCAATGATTTTAGACGGCCATTGATGATATCAATCACAAATCAAATCATTCGCTTTTGAAGCTTCTTTCATCTTTTTTTATTTCATTAAAAATTGTTTTATTGCGTAAATCTTTTTATCAAATGAACTCTTAATTTAATCCTGGCAAGGTGACATTTAGTTGAATCTATCTTGTGGTGCAAATTAAGTGTTTTCAACATCGTTCCAGGTGGCCGATTAATTTACCCAATTCATTGGAAAAAAAAGCTTAATTTATTAACAAACAATAACAATTTATTTCCGTTTAAAACACGTATATTTTATTGATAAAATAGCATATCGAATAAATTCTTCGTCATAAATTCATCAGTGTGTAAAAATAATTTGGGATTGATCTCTCTACGTGCGTATCTACACAAAATGCATATCACTAATATATTTTTAAGAATGTTAAAGTTAGAACAGTTTTATGTATCCTCTATTTATCTGACTCAAGACGAAGTAAACGTCCAAGTATCTGTAACTCAGTCACATTTGATTGGTACAAATTGTTGTATTACAGAAATATATTTCTGTTTTGTATCGATCGGAAAATTTTCAATGAATTTCACAGTCGACGTTGCAGTACCGCCCACTCAGTTAGTTTATATTCTATCCAGTCAGTTCATTAAAATAACTGCGGCCATGTTTTCTATAACACTACATTATAGTAATTTAGTTTTTATTAAAAATTGTACAATATTAAAACAATGAGGTAAGCAGACTTAATTAAGAAAATATTTCATGTCATAATTATATGATTTCGACTATTTGCTTGTATTTTTGTCCATTACTAGCTGTCGCCCGCGACTACGTACGCGCGGAATTAAAAAAAAACATAATATAAAGTATGAAATTATAAATTTCATTGAGATCCATCAATCCATCCATCTAAAGATTCGCATTTAAAATATTAGTAAGATTAATAAGATTGTGTAGTGTCAAGCATTCTTTAATGTACAAGTAGAGGATGTTAAACATACAGGCAGTAAGTTTTATTTGAGGTTCGTTCAGGAGTGTAACACAGGGCAAAAACTACAAGCGTTAGTCTACAAGGTTACATTTTTATGGCCAGTATAAAAATGAATACGAGCAAAGGTATTAGGGATTTCAAACGTAGCTACGTAAAAACAACGCGGTTACACATTAAATTGAAGACCTTGAGTAGTGTTTAGATAAAAAAAAATTAAAACACTTCCGCGTGAACAGTTCGCAAAGACACTTAAACTTTTAGAATACTTTTTATTTGAAATTCCGTGATTATTTTTAAAACATCAATAGATTTAAATCGTCACTATATTAATTTTATTGTGTTCATAAAATACTGCCTTGCATTTTCCTTAGCCTCATTTGAAAGTCAGTTAGTGTTCATATGTTCTACAGTACTTTAAACTATGGTCCTCCCTTGCAAATATTATAGTAAATGGTTTATATAAAATTAAAAAACAAGCTTGAGTCGGTAACAGTGGTTTAAGATCTATATTCGCTTGAAGCTATGCGGAAATGGAACCAACAAAGCTTGCGCTGGGAATCCGGCCGTAAGACGGCAATAGAGGTCAATGCACTTCACTTGCTAGCAGCAACTATCGCCCGAAACACATGTAATAAAAAATATTGGCTTTAAAAAATGGCATCTGTTATTAAATCATACAATCTGCTACTAAAGGTTATAGACGAAATAATAAAAAACAAATTTCAAATTAGAAAAAAACATGAAATTAAATAATAGTTTTTGATTTACATTTACATTTTTATAGCTCGATAAAATCTGTGACATGGCCTATCGTTTAAATGAAGTTGAAACATGTGGTGAGGAATTCGCGAATTGGCTCCGCGGTTTTTGAGGGTTTCTGTGCTAAAAACATGACGTAAAAATTGTTTATATAGGCGAAGGACGACAATAAAACGATACGACACGACACAAGATTGCAGTCGAAAGTCCTCATTAGCCCAATTTCTCAGTCTAACCTCACACGACTGGCCAAACATTGTGCAATCAAAACTGGGTTAAACCGTATTGTTAGGTCCAAATCTAGGTCAAGTTTACAACCTTAAAATCGACCTACAACTCCTTGTAAATCTTTCATGTATATTCTAATTTTTATCGGGAGTACACTGGCCCTTAGTCACAACATTGTCTTTGACCTACTCTTCTAAAAGGTCTTCCACACTAAATATTTGTGGATACCGAATGAATAATGGATACATAAATATTCAATCAAAAAGAACAAGATACAAACCTGTGGAAAAGACTTGTGTTTATAATAACAATTTAAATTTAGTTTGATACTGTTAACATTGAACTTCTGTTTGTCTGATCGTGGAACAAAGGTTCTAAGGCGTGATGGAACGCAGGGCCAGTATCGCGACAGTGAAAAAGTATTATAGGTCAAGCACAGGTATATTCAAAACTTTATTCTTGTAATACCTGTTAACTGTTATAACCTCGACTATTAATAAATTTACATTTATATTTTTGTGTATCCACGAATAAAGATTGATAGTAACGTCTGATTTTATTGAGGTGTTTTGAAACAATAATTTTATTAATAAATAAAAAAAAGATTTGTACATGTTTACTTCGAATCTGTAGTAAAATAACATAACATAGAAATTACAAAATAATTACATTTAATAATATAATATTATATTGATATTTCTAATGTAAAATAATAACATACATAATTATGTACTTTTATATCTACGTTATCACCTAATATGTTTGGACGTTGCTATATTTATCTTATCAAGATATAATATTATATATAGCAGATATTATTTCACGTCTATGAATAAACAAGTTGACCGACGTCATCTATGGTTTACCTTGGACGAAAATTGCAATAGTTAATCCTGCAAAATTGCTAATATCTTATTATTAGATTATTAAACTTACTGTTTACGATTGAGAAATTTTATGCACAATTGTAGTTTTTACATATACCAGCTTTAATATTTCATTTCATGCATTCTAGTTTTCAATTTCGTTCCAAACTTTATTACGATGACGACGATCAGATCGGTCTTAATCGAGTAAAATAATGCTTAATGACTAGCAATATGCAGAAAAAAAACACTCCAGAAAAAGGATATATGCGTCCCCTCCTCGTCAAAGGTGGGAAGGGAATGGGGACTAAAATTAAGCCGGCACGCAAATACATGATATAGTACTCATATTTATATAGCGTACCATTAACATAATAATCAACACGATCTATAGATTACGTCACGACCTTGTAATAATCGATATGTTGACATTAACGTAGCTATATCAAGGTCCGTATACTCAAGCAACAATCTTCGGACCTTGAATGCATGGGAAACACTCGGAGTAGACAGACGACGTCGCAAGGGCACGTCCTCGAAGCGAGCTTCCGATACTTACGGTCTCTAAGGACCGACGCTCAATATCACTAAGCCTCATAACATTGCACAACTAATACCAGACCTTGTATCAGATCGAATCGATTAAGTACTCCCTTATTTCTCGAATTGTCTTATAGTTGTGAATATTACTTTTAATTATGATATTGTGAACGTAATTTAATATATTCTCGATAATGTTTACATTATTTTAAATGGATGCGATGTTATTTTGTCCATGTTGACACATAAGTTTTTTATATTTTGACTGCCACATTCAGTGTCTCCAAATGGTCACTAAAGAAGACTTTAGAATAGACTTTTATAATAAATCTGCACTAAGCGACTGCTTATGTAACCATATAATGACATAGTGTAATATTTAAATATGATACGAGTTTAGCTTTTAGTTATACGGATTTTTTTTTTATCTCAAATTAAAATTTTATATCTTCAAAAAAACTTCATTTTTGATGGGACGTCACCGACACTTTTTTATAAGCCGCATTCAGACGCCACCAAAATATATTTATATTGGCGCCAAACGTAAATAAATCCCTGTTCTCTCGGGCGCGAAAATTACGCAGTGGCAGAGCTTTTGGGTTCCGTGACCAATAAAATTGATTAAAAACAAAATAAATTTGAAATGACAAAAATATTCTAATACTCCACAGTAAAAAAAAGAATAAATTATTTAAAAGTTGTATAATTTGGCCATTAATTAACTCGGATTTTTGTATATTAAATTTTTTTAAATATAATACCTCCTTTTTCCTTTATTTAATTTTTTTGGGTTTGTAAATAAAGCCATAAACTTTAAATAAACAAAAATAATGTTTTAAATTATAAAAAATTTAGTATTATTTTTAAAAATATTATTCTTTATCAACATCCAAACAAAATCTTGACGTCACAAGCTTTGCACCGTTTTAAATTTATTATTTATTTTTCAAGTAATCAATCTGCTTTATTTCTTTACTTTAAAAGACATCTTTATTTCACAGCCAAACACGTACTTTTGCCAAAAATTTTGTTTCACATTTTTATTCCTTTTTAAACGAGAACAAAAAGAGAGCAAATTTTTAAAACGAGCTGCTAAACTTAGATTATTACTCTGTATTTATTAGTTATTCATTTTGTGAGTAAATTACTCTTATTAATCAATCAATATTCGATCCTTGAGATAGATTCGAAAATATTTTAATTACTTTTAAAAAAAACATATTATGTAGTCTGGCCAGAAATACATTTTTATACACCCTTGTCATATAGCTGAAATTTAATATGGATCTAATTTGTTTGTCCACATAAGAAAGTGTTGAACTAGCCAATAGAGCGTGATTTTTATATTCTTGGTTAGTCTGTACAGTACTATAAATCGCCCATTAAACAGTAATTCATGATTTTCGATAGCTATTGCGATCTTTAGATTAGCCAATTTAGAACCAAATTGAGAAAAAAAGGCAATTAAAAAACCTCGGATAAGCAAAAATAGTTTCAAATCGAATATTGATTTCGGCAATTAATCTAAAAGGGTTAAAGACAGTAATGGGCAAGTTATTTGCTCATAAAGTGCGTGTGAATGAAAGAAACTCGTAGTGCTTCCGAATTGTTCGTATGAGAGTAAATTAGTCACATCTAGGGTTATTCAACCGGCGCTGACGCAAGGCGGCCATATTCTATTAATACTCCGCATGACCTTATATGTCATTCAATACAATCGCATATTGTTTTGTCGCTAACATATTACAAAGTATATTTTCAATACTCTCTATGGAACGAAAACTTACGTTTTGTTTTTCAAGAAACAACATATTCAAGAACTATCATTCTCTGTGACTTTTTGACTAGACTAGTTATAAATATTTTAAAAAGAAACTCGACAAAATTTCATTCAACGCTGTAAGAAAGTATTTAAACGAATTCTTGCTTTAAATTTTCTTCTAAATTATTTTTGTCTTGGCATGTAGTCACATATTTGGAATACCTATTTGTTACGATGCACCTAAACTCATTCACAGTTTCATCCGTCACTTCTTGTTGTAAACTTACTTTAGTGTTCACAAAAATAGTAAATTAGACTGTCCTGTGACGCTCGCAGTCCGTTCATAAAGGGACGTTGACGTAATTCAAATCCAATTGCACCCAATAAACGGAAGTCATGACTGCCAAAGTCGTCTTCATTGTGATTTAATTCTTGATATGTAATTAAACGGCTAATCGCAACCACATGTGTGGAAAGCTCATTGAAATTACACACGAAATATACAAAATTGATTATCGCGTTTCCGTTATAAATCTGTTTTAACTGCTTCATGAAATAAAGTCGATCGAAATTGCCACACCAGTCTACTTATGAATTTTATTTCTGACAGCCACTAGTCCAGAGCGACTACAAAACTACCTTTGAAATATATCTCGAATTGATTATCGCATTTCCGTCATAAACCATTTTTATTATATTAAATAAAATAATCTAAATAGACCGCCTTCGGCACATGTTGGTGTATAAATTATTCCTGGCAGGTAGCGAGATAAAAAAAAAACTCCAATAAGTTTTATCGTTCCAGAGTCGAGCATAAATCAGAAACATGAGGGACGAGCGCGCCGGGCCGCCGCGTGTCCGCATCGCCGTCATCGGAAGCTCTCGCGTCGGAAAATCGGGTGAGAAACGTCACAAAAAATAACTAATACCTATCTATTTACTATAATTACTACCACATTTACTTCACACTGTGCTCCATTAATAAATATTTGCTCTGACGTCATCACCATTAGAAAAATTGCGTATAATTAGCATTTTTATTGTCTTACTAATTTATGTTTCTTTGCTCGCTGTTACAATTGGGGGCTATGATAGTTATAGGTTTAAGAGTTAGTTGCCAGGTCAACGTACTCTATAATTGGATAAACTTTCTGTCTTGATAATTGGTATACCATTAGAAAGACAGAATCATAAAAAAAAGGTAATTGCCATTATTTTGTGACACAAGATTCGTTTTCCATTTAACATTTGAAACTGAAAGTATTTGGGTAAACCTTTTAATGTGACATAAATTATTTTTCTTTTTAAAACCTTCCGTCTTTTTATTGATTACATCTCGCGACCCAAATGGCCGTGAGTGCCTATCATAATGTGAAAGGTTTACGGTCGTCGGGAAGTATTTTCAGTGGGCTCTCACTTTATTATAATTTTATGAAACATGAAGCCGCGTTCAGTTCTACTTTCTTTTACGTTTATGTTAACCCGTCTGAATATTTGTACAAATTCAAATAACATTTATTTAGGACTTCGGTTGCAGGTTTTTGTTTGAAAAACATTATTTGCTTCTTTGTTACTTTTGTTTTCATCAGTTATTGTAAGACAAAACCAAAGGGTTGGGCCATTAGATCTCTAAACGGCCTGACGTATTATTTAACAAAAGTTATTTTAGAAATGGCACTGAAAGAAATTTAGAAAATAAAACTATGCGATATGCTTTTAAACAATATTAGTTAGAATCTTTTGAAGCGAATGGCGCGCTTTTATTACTGTCAGTTTGATTAGTGAGGGGACGTAAGCGTCGATATTTTAATTAGGCTAGTGTTGCGCCAATACACCGGCACAGTGTCGGTTTTTCTTCCTAACAATACGTACCTTAAATGTTCATAATATAATATATATTTACATTTCAGTTTCCTTTGCAATTGCCTCACATATTCTAGAAAATGGAACGTTCGAGATAAGCAAAGGAAACAAAATGGCTGACCTACATGAAATTACATAAACCATAACAAACGGAATGACCGAATCAACGAATGATGTAACACGAACTACGACCGCATTTTCGTAAACGAACCGAAAACCTAAAACAATCAATCCATTTTCATATTCGCGACTCGTAAATGTCAATCAGGATTGCCAGGTTTTAAAACAATTAACAATACGCGAAATGTTTTGGCTTATAGGCAGGGTGTGGGCCAGAAATATAAAATGGGGCGTAGTTCTATTGTTTGAAAACAAAAAAATCCTTGGCTCGCATATCTGATGCGGGTAACAGATGTTTTATAATTGATTCACCGGTCTCTAGTTTAGATAAAACTTTTAATACTCATGATACAAATTTAAACATAACTTCCTTGCCTTTATTTATGAATACTTCATTATTGCGTAGTCACGCAGTTCAAAATTCTTTTAAAATCAATGTATGTTGAATTTACATATAAAGTAACTTTTTGTTACAGCTTTGATCGTCCGGTATCTAACAAGGAGATACATTGGAGAATATCATTCGAATACAGGTTAGTACTTTTAAAACTAAGCGTATTAAAAACATAATAATTTCCGTGCCCAATTCAATGTGTTACAATTGTATTTTTTTTTTACCTTTTTTAAAAAATTAAATTAATTGCAACAATTTTTAACAGATCTCCTGTACAAACAGACAGTGCCAATTAATGGCATGCCAGTCGAACTTGAGGTCATTGACGTCTCCGGGTCCAACACTGACAAGTTTCCAGCAGAACAGGTAAAAAAACACTATTTTTCTGACTATATTTAGGCAATAATCCTAAGATTTTACTAGGTAGGTTTGGTATCTTTACGATGGTCCATTTAATTCATATCTGTGCAACGTAAATTTTGCGTATATAGGTTAATCCAGTTCAAGCCGGGACCTTGTTGAGCAGTCAATCATCTTCACCTTCACAAAACAAGCGCGAACTCGAAACGTTGAACGACCTTTTCGGCCGCTCTAAACAACAACACACTCACTAAATCACACAGTCGAGAATAACTGCGATTTCTCCAGGCTCATTTCCGAGGCCATGTTATTGCACTTTTATTTTCGCAGTCTATCACAACACTGGCTGGATCGCGTTTTTATCACCTTCGAAAAACAAGTGTTACAGTTTTTGCTGAATATCGCGTAAACATATTAAAAACATCAGGAAATATTTATTGCGTATTAGTTACGCGTTGATATACGCTTGAATAACAAGTAGCCTAGTTCCGGATCGCTTCCCGAGGTCTTCGATTTAGCTAACCCAGTTATCACAGAGCTCGCATTCATTTCGTCTTCCATTTGACTCGGTAATATTTTTATGTCTCAACGCCTGTAGTAATAAGAAAATCGATTCTGAAGAATGTTGTAGTGGGCCCTTCCGCAAACAAATCAAAGATTAAACGAAGTCTGAAACTGTTTTATGTCAGTACAACTGGGTTAATCGCCACCAATAATACTAGCGTTGAGAAAATGTGCTCCAACACTATGTTCTAGTGACCGGGCCACGTTGTGACTCACACTGTTTACACTGCTACAATAATAATTGTACTCTACGTTTTACTCTTTGGAGATTCTAACAAATATTATTAATGCGAATGTTACATTGTATTCTATGTTACGTTTTTATTTATCGTTAAACTAATTATTCAAACGGAACCGCGTGTAAAGTATAGTTCTTTGTACTTTTATAGTTTGCATAAATTTTTCATCGTACGCAATCACCTAAATACTATGGATTAGCACTGCCAAAAATCGCAAAACGTAAAACTTTTATTTCTGATTCGAGCCTCGTCTAACGTCAGTTAAAAATAACGTTTCCGTATTAACACCGCAGTAAAAAGGTATTCTAGATTCAAATTACTGTATCTAATTAAAAAAAAAATCTAAACCGATTCAGCTGTTGTATTTCTTTTATTAATTCACGCAAAAAATAGATTTATTTTTATATAAACGATGAAACGGAAATTAAGAATGTAAAAATATTTAGCTCTAATTTATTATAATATAACAGATAAAATAATAAATATCTGTTTGTAAAAAATTTTAAATGTTTTTTACTTCCTTGAAAGCTCACAATGAATGTTGTTGGAGACATCCATTTATTTGTATACACTATGTTTAGAAGTATCAAAATAAAAATATAAAAGGTTATTTTACAAAAAATAATGAATGACAAGAATAATATAAATACCAAAACTGAAAAATCTAAAATTTCATTAATATTTGGTTTTAATTAAAATTTTATATACGTTTTTAATATTTAATGTAACGAAAAGCTTCAGAATTTACGGAATGATTATAAATTTTGTAACAGGTTATTAACTCATCTGAATAATCCAACTTATTAAAAACTAGCTGTCGCTCGCTAATCCGTCCGCGCGGATTTAGAAAAATCATAATTAGGAACCTATGTATTCTTCCAGACTATGTTCTATATCTCTGACAAATTTCATCAAGACAAGTTCAGTCATTCTTAAGATACCTTCAAATAAACATCCATCCATCTAAACACTCGCATTTATAATATATAATAAATAACATATTAATCAGATTAGTAAGAAGTAAAATGTCATCGAAATAATTGTATTTATTCTTTCGTAGGATAGAAATCTCTCATTTATTTTACAAGAACAAATGAATAACGATATGGCGGAAACACTTCGTACTATCCAGGGTGCGCCCGTGAACTGCTCTAACGCTATATTTAACCAAGAATGCTGACTCCGACACACTAATTATTCATGCCAGGCCAGATGTATTTGAATACTCATTGTATATGTCATGTCGCTATAAATCAAATTAACGCTTTTTCAGTATTTAATTATTTTAAAACCGTATGGCGTATACGAGGTAATAATGATTAAACATTTTCTGTGTGTTAAATGAATGTTTATATGCGATGTAAATTTGTTTAGCATTGATTGCAAGTCATTGTCTGTTAACTGTGTTTCCACTGCCGGAATGTATATACAAAAACATATTACCATCCCACTCATTCTGTTTAGAAAAATGGAGACAACAATATTTTTTTGTAAATTTCTTAAGACGGAAAAGATATAAAAACATGTAGTATTTTTACGTAGCAGTTCTTTAAATCCTATCCAAGAAAATTTTATGCACACTTTATTTTGTGGAGAACAGAACGTTAATAAAATTACGAATCATAAGGAAGACCGTGAAACTAAGAAAACATAAGAGGCCATTAAAGTAAGCTACCGATTTCATATAACCTACGTACGTTTAGCTTTCGTGTTCAACAATAAAACATTCAGAAAAGTCGGAGCCGAATCGTAACATTTTATGCGCGAACATTACACATCTCGATTAATTTACGTAGACATCCATACTGAATCTTGTATCTTTATATCATCATCAATCTATATCAATATATTGGTGAACTTTTATTCAGCAATTATCAATTGTCAGCAAACAGTTTGATACTTGTAATTTTGTATCTATTTTAACCATATTTAAGAGTCTTTGTGAGAATTTTTACATAGTAATTGTCGCCCGCGACACTTAGTAGTAGTAATCTATGTGTTCTTCCAGACTATCTTCTACATCTATGACAAATTTCGGCAAGATCCATGCATCCGTTCTGGAGATACCTTCAAACAAACATCCATCCATCTATCCATCTAAACATTCGCATTTATAATATTAGTAAAATAAGACAAGAAGTAACATTAGTAAGATAGATTCGGAAATAACCACAAAAAGCAAAATAAATGACTGACACAATGTGGGTAGAGATTTGTAGTTTCCCAGTTTCAAATCCTGGCACAATTTGTTACTTATTTATATGTCTACGTTTAGACTAACTTATTCTAATTAACAAAATTCACACATCGCCAAGATATTTTCAAACGCGGATGTTGCCTGATATCTTTTAAAACACTGAATATTGGAATTAACAAGGTCATAACATACGAGGGATTTATATAGGAATGTATAATACGCCAACACTCTTGTTACTGTGGTATATTGTTATTTTGATATTGTTACTAATAATAGTAGTAACGTAACTTCACTTGCGCAAGTCTAGACAAATAGCACAAGTATCTATGAGGATGTTTCTGATACTTCAAGTTTATTCATGCCAAAGCCAAAATCAGAGCTACTACGAACGATTTTCTATTTATTACGTTAATATAATTGGTGTTTTTGAACGCAAAAGAAAATAAAAATTCGTTATAAAAGCAAAAAGTATTTTATATGAGTAAATTATTTAAATAATTCATGTATTTTTGTTTACCGTAACCACTTATGTTTTCTTGACGTGAAATAAAAATAAGTCTCTACATTCGTAGCTACAACTATCTAGTACATCCTAGCCGCCTGTCTGTCTAGCTTCTATTGTTTTCCAACGCTTTGTGATTTTGAACAAAAAACTTACTCTTGTACTCAAGTTTTTTGTTTGTAACTTTTTCCTAAAAAATAGACATACAAATTTATAAAAATCTTGCTGGGTAAATAAAATATTTAGGTTACGTGTTAGTATATATGAATAGTATTTAAAATTAAACTCTTTTGCAGCATAAATTAAGTTAATAGTACAAAATTATATAATATTTTATTTAAAGTTGGCTTATTATTGTTGCAGATACAATGGGCAGACGCGTGTCTGTTAGTTTACTCCGTAACGGACAGAAGCAGTTTTGAATATGCTACAGAAGTATTGAACACATTAAAGAAAAACCCACCACACGGCAGCCCTGCGCATGGTGCGCCCTCTGCCGCTATGCCTCTCGCACTACTCGGGAACAAGACTGACTTGGATCACTTAAGACAGGTGAGAAAATTTTGAGATTCTTTAAAAGATACCTTTCCTTTCGAAAAGAGGTTTACGTGACTTGACTCTATAACTAGTGACTGGACCACCCTGAGGGGCCAAGTTTGAGTGCGGGTGAAGTAGGTCCTGGGATTTCCTAAGAAAAGAAACTAAATTAAATTTCAATGACAGCAAACTTATACATTTTTTTATTACATATAAGCATTATGTTTCATATCAAAAATTAAATAGAATACATAATTTAGCATCGTCATTCAACTTTTACATATAATAATATGCCCTTTACAAACATTTCAACAACAAATTCTCTTTGAATTCATGAAATTTCCAGTAAATGCCATCGCGTTGGCGTAGATATTTCTCAATTGTTTTACTAGAAAATAAATATCAGTTATCTAAACTTTTCTTAACCATAATTAATATTTATCTGATATTAACATAACACAAGGACGACATAAGTAATATTAAGTAATATTGACTTTTATTGACGAATAACTATTTAGAAAACTCTGAGTGCTAATCAAGGACAGCAACAAAGATTATGGCCTGAATATAGTACTTATGTAATAAAATAAACTATTAAGGGTATATAAGGTTTATCGATTCGGCACAAATAAACTCATTTACGTATCCAAACTTACTCTAAGCCATTTTACTTCTTACTAATATTGTAAATGCGATTATTTAGAAGTATGAATGGATGAACATATTTTGAACTTATTGACTAATGCTTAATTGTTTTTTTTAATAACTTACGAACGGACTCGCGAGCGTCAGATACTTAAAAAAGGTGAAAATAGTAAAAACAAAGGACAGAAAATATTCCGAATCTGAAAACAAAAGAACGCGCGTGTATACAATATTGTTTACATTTTCTGTTCGTCTCTAGTGTAATATACACGTGCTGCATACTGTTCAGCCAGACAATATTGCGAAACTTTTGACACGCAGAGACAATGGCGTAGGGAACGTCCTTGTCAGCTCCGTTGAGATTTGTTCGCTAGACTACGTCAAATCTATACAAAGCTCGACATGTACCGTATTTATTTATTTATTGTTTATAAAACTGATACGTATTATTTATATGAAGGATATCGTGTGACAAGTTGTCTTTAATAATAATTCGTAAGCAATAATATCATGAGTTAGAAAAAGAATAAGGAATACGTTAAATATCTAACAAAAGTAAAAGACTACTCTTAATAAGATGTACTAGAATAAACTTTATTTTTTGCGTCTTTTTCCTTATGTCTGTTGACTCAAGTTTGCTATCCAGTCTAGAATGCATTATAAATGTTGTAAACAGTTGTATGTATTAAATTCATAGATGTAGTGTTGATTCGTGTATTCTGAATCATAACTTATGCACTAGAATTTTCCATTTTGTTTGTAAACGAAAATGAGTAATTTTTGAATATAAAAATATATTTCGATTCTTATTTAAAGATTTCGACGCATATCGATTACTACTTTATTTTCGATGAAAGTTATGTTCCCGATAACGATGTCTGATCGAATACAGAGAAAATAATATTTATTTGTGCCGTTCCCGGCATTTCACAAATAATACGCCGTATGTTCTCTTTATAAATGTTTATTGTCTGATATAATTTTTATTTGACTCACCTATATTAAGGACACCTCAACATCGAACATATTAACATTATTGCATTTGTGCTTTATTAATATTTCAATAAATGTCTCTAGTACCATAAGCTTTATTATACCTCCGTACAAATATCTGATCGTCTTTTGTTTTCAGGTGCCAACGAAGGAGGGTCAGGCGATGAGCCAGGCGCACGGCGCGTCATTCAGCGAGGCGAGCGTGGCCGACAACTCGGGAGACCTCTATCGCTGCGTTGACCGCCTACTGGCCGACGTACGCCTGCCTCAGCGCACCAGGAAGTTCTCGGTCACCAAGATGCTCGGTTCTCTAATAGGTCAGTATTCACTAAAGTATTTTGTAGCTTTTTAAAAGCTTATTTTTAAATTATAATTCAACACTGCTCAAAAATTTGTAGGATTCCAGTTATTCAGTATGTTCCTTCAAATCTTTCGTTCTACCAGCAAACACTTACTACTATTTCTTATAATGACTAATAAACATTTTCACTATCTTCAGGAACTACAACGAACTCCAGCGGCACGAGTCGCAGCGGGTCTGTAGTGGCGTGCCCACGCGTACCGGCGCCGTCGCGACCTCCCTTGGCTGCCGCCGCGCCCTGACCGCGCTGATGTCTAGCCGGTGCCTGGCTGGCCTGCCTTCCAGTGCCCTCGAGATTCACCTCCCCCACACCACTCTCAGCGGGCATTTAAACAAACTTTTGGTGAAGAAAGACGAAGTGTGACCAGTTTACTGGTTACATTATGTATTGTTAATGGTGGTAAAAAGCATAGTGGTATCTGTTCTAGAAACTACGCTGTTAGAAATATTGAATTGTACCATATTTCTAGCACAGTCACTAGTGTGTGGGTAATTCAACCCGTTTTGGTGCCTAACATCATATTGTGAGTTGTGTCTCTGACACAGCAAATGCTTGCAAGACTATGCACCAAGTAGAGTTGCATTATCTATGAAATGAACGAAACAAAGATGAGAAGCATAATATAAGGGAACGTTACAAGGTAATGTCAGTGGTATATGGGGAGGAGATGTGGGCTTTTTTTACCAAACAATTTGGTAACTAGTCATTAAGATATGAACTCTAAGTGTCGGTGCAGTTAGAGCTTTATTGTGTATCGCTTCAGTTGGATTATATATGTGTATGATTGAGTTATAAATGTGAATGTATTGCCACATATTGTTGTCTCTGTTTTTTCATAGAGCATGAAAGGGATGACAAATGTGTCAACGATAACTGCAGTCGAAATCCAGAGTAACAAATATTGTTGACTATGTATATGTTATTACGTTCCATTTTGTAATTATGACAATAATTATGCAAAAATTAATATGAACGTATATCTTTGTAAATATAGCATTCGCCAGTAGCTAAATGAAATTAAAACAAAGGTAATAGAATCCAATTTTGATGTTGAAATATTTTTAAGTGCTATAAATATTGCAATTTAAAATAAATAATAGAGTCAATGATATTATTCCTCATTTCATTGGTAATTAAAAATATAGAATCAAACTTTATAGGTTATATATTTGTGACATGGCTGCGTATAGCTATAAAAGTACAGTAGGCTTCGCTTGCGGTAATCTACATTTAAATCGATAATTGTTTGAACTTCTTTTACACCTAGAAACCTTTATACATGAACAGACTGCAGTATTTGAATATCCAAGGCGAGAAGGGGTAAATTTAAAATTCAGCACTAGTTGCTATGCAACTTTGCGGTTACTTGTAACACAGTAAACGAAGGCGACTGTACCAATGTGCCAAAGAAATATCAATGTGCGTTTATATCTTTATACATTATAAATGTTTTGATTGTATATAAAATACTATATAGTCATTTAAATTACCCTCTTTATATACCAAAGATGTAATTATTTTTTTCTTTTTTAATATATTATCTAGGCAAAGAGACGCAATAGTACAAAAAAGAATTTTGGAATACTTTAAAAGCTATTTCCTATACATAATAAATGATATTATAATCACTGACACTGTTTTTAAATATTGTATTGTATGGTCTTAAATCTGGAAATTTAAATTCTACTGAATTGTTTAGAATCTATGTCTATCTATCCAATCAAAATTATAAAATCTGATAGAATTTTGGTAGTATATCAATTTTGTTAGTAAATATTTTGTTAAACCATCATTATTTTGTAAAATAACGTAGAAAACAAAATTAACAACATCTAGGTAAACTTTATCTTAGCTTTTTTCTACTTTTATACAGTATTATTAATATAAATATTTTAAGGTAAAGTATTAGATTTTGGTTGGTCATTCTGTAAATGCAAATTATAGTTTCGTTATAGCAAATTTATAGATTTATTATATTATAGCAGCTTTTTTAATTCCGTCTATCAATTTTTGACAATCATATTTTTAAATATTAATTGTATCTTAGTGCCACACTCATTGTTGTTAGAGAATCTACACTAAGGACCACATAATGTTGGTTTCTGAGACTAAAATCTCTATATAAAACATATCGTCATGCATGTCATTATGTTTAAAAAATAGAGTTAACACTAAATACACCGTATAACACATAGGTGTTATACGGTGTATTTGGTCTCAGAAACCCTCGGTTAGTCAAAAAGATTATAAAATTCGTGTAGCATATTGTGCCAAAGAAGAATCTTAATGATAGAAAAATTCAAATTTCTATTAATCTTTATTACAAACTCTTTGTAATTCAAAAACTGGAAAAGGATTTTAGAGTTTATTTTATAGTATGAATACGTGTAATTTGGTCACTGCAATTATTAATTCGCATTTTTGTGGTGCGATTATCAACTGTTTATTTAGTCGCCGTCTAGTCATTAGATGTTAAGGCTGTGAAAAGACATTTGAAATTAGCCATGAGGTTTATTTTGGTCGTGTTTGTACACTGGCAAAACAGTACTTTATGTAATTGATTTAAGATTCAAATTCAAATGTATGTATATAAATGTTGAATAGAGACAAAATTGTACAAGATTTTTAACAATTATTAAATAAAATATATTTGTTATAATGTATTTGAAATATATTAAAATCAATCGGTAGTATCAGATTGTATTTGTGAGATAGGTTTTAACGGGTAAGAAAGAAATTGGAACTGATTGATGTAAGCTGTAAATAAAATTGTAAACATATCTAAGTTATAAAATAAATGTTTCCTAATATAACTACGTATGTAGTTTTAATTTACCTAAACTAATACTGACTTAATTGAAATTTAGATTAAAACAAGTGAAAAAAAAAACAATAAAGTAAAATACGTAATAAAAAAAATTGACAGAATATATTTCTCTCTCTCTCTCTCTCGCTTTAAACAAAAAAGATATAGATATTAATAATCATACATATTAATTCCTTTCATTTTATTGTAAACTTGTATGTGGCCATGTAGCAAACTATTTTTAAGCTTAAGAGTGTTTCCCGTTGGGCCTATTGACCTACCAATCATTCAGCCTTATGAAAAAAAAAGAAAGTTTGGATGTTGCACGGACATCCAAACACACAGAAGACAGGCGTGAAGTGGAAGCAATTCCGCGTTTCGTCTGATGAGTGTGCGTCCCGGAGGCCTTATTCAGTCCTCTTTCCCTTCCCACCCTTTTTCTTATAAGGAAAGGATGGGAAGTGGAAGTGGACTTACCGGATGAGAGGATGCATGGAAAGGGAATATTTTTTCTTTAAGTGCATCCTCTCCTCCGTCGATTAAAGGTAGGCAACGCATATGCAATTGCGTATGTCTATGGGCAACGGTCACTTCGCTTTATCAGCGACTTCAGGTGGCCGCTCGCTCGTTTGCCACCTTATGATATAAAAAAAAACTTAGAGAAAAACATCGAAGTGGAATTTGCATTATCAAATGACTTTCCTCAAACAAACGCTTGGGAAAATCCGGACATATAAACATCACAATAAATACCGATGCGGTCTATAAAGCCGATACAATTTGATTTACACCGACATTTGTAACTCGAATTCAGTTAACCCAATTGCTGTATCATCGAATAAATCATCTGCATATAGCATAAGGCCGCGTTCATAAGGACAACGAAAATATACAATGAAGGCTATATGCGTTTCTCTGGAATTCTGTCGAAACATTTTCTACATACATACTTATATTGTGACAAAATGAAAATTAAACGCTTTTAATTTGAAATCAGATTTTTCCAATTAAATGACACTTTTAGCAAATAAAATTAATTCATATTACTATGTCAAATCTTAATGAATCAATATTCTTCTTGCCGTGATTTTCCGAGACCAAAAGTCCTGTTTAAAACAAATTGTTATCTCTGTTTTGTCAATGATAATGACAGAGATGACGATATGTTTTATACAAAGATTTTGGCATCGGAAACTACCTTTTGAAAAGCTAAATCATATGTGTAAAATTCCTAATTTTGTAAAAAAAAAAGAGTGTTTTCATACATTTTTGCATACTTTTAATAATAATTTGTTAGCATCGAGTTACAATTATCAATTCAGTCCTAAAGATATTTAGAAATCACTTCTTTAACTCAAAAGCAACAATAATATATAAAGATATAGACAGATAGATTGAATAAAATTAAATTATATTGATTTGTATGATTCGGTTAATGTGTTATCGTCGGAACGCACACGCGCTCTCCGCGAAACAAATCACGATCGCGTCTCGTAACGACGCTCGAGATGAGAGGGGTGCGCATCCCCACCCCGTCCCCCGCGTCGCAGCTGCGTGCACCAATCGATCTGTCGACTGGACCGCTACGAACTTCACTTCACGATCAACTGTCGCTGTCAACGCTACTATCCAAAAATACGTCCCATTAAAAAACATCCTATATTTTATCTTGTAATGTGTTAAGTCTAAGTTAGCAGTATGGAGGGGCGGAGGAGCTGGGATGGGATTCCTTTGGGGGAGTCCCACTCACCGCCGCAGTCGGTGCCAGGGCGAAGGACCCCGCTGGGCGCCGTTGGGCTCGGCGGGTTCTACATGCAGGGCGGGCAGCCTCCGCCTCCCCAGCACTGCTATCCCACGGATGAGAACCAGCCGGAACCGGGAACCAGCTATGCTCAAAGGTTAGTTTACATTTACATTTTTATTCCGGATTGTGTTTACATAATTATATAAAAAAGCAATTTACGCATCGACACTGTCACCAATTTAGATATTATGTTTTCAAATCAAATTCTATTGATTATTTTATCACATTGTACATTGCTATTCTTATTTTAAATGCGACCATTTCATTGTAACCTTGTCTTTATACGTAACCTGGAACACCTGGTAGTGTTGTGGTCAAAAGTTAATACTAAGCTACACTGTAGTCCCTCTCGTACCTACTCGCCCATAAAGGTCAATACGTCAAAGGCACATTTGACACATAAAATATAAAAATAATTAGAAATGTAAAATAATTTAGAAGAATTGAAATACATGCATTGTCGTATTCCTTGCAATCAATTTTGATCAAAGAACCAGTTGTTTAAGATATGAAATGTTCATTTTATTTTTTTTTTATGTTTTTTTGTAATTTTTTTGTGACAGTTGTCATACAGCCAGATTTACATCAAATGCAACATCTGTGCGCAATTCACCAATAAGTTGTGCACCCCATATTCATGCGTATTTTATTTGCAGTCTCCATGATTTCCATTATCAACCATAGACTTATACAAGTATAGACAGGACACAGGAAAATGCATACTTCCAAAGAATCGCTTTTATGATAAAATCACTTATATAGTATATATTTATTTCTTATAAATATATACTGTTAGTATTAACCAGTTCTTTTTATATTTTGAGGTATAGTTTTATTTTTAAGTTATTTAACTTTTTGCCAAATATATAATAATATCTTAAATTTCATAATAATAAAACTTTGTGTAAAAAATAATAACAACAAAAAGATGGCATTAAATATTCAAAATATTCAGAATTTATGACTAAGTCGCTCGAGTAAATATCAATATTCTAAAATAGGAAAACAAAATAGCGAAATATCGTAATATTAAATTGGCAACTCTATTCTATTTATTGGTCAGAAATCATCCCTCTCGGTCGTTAGCGTTGGTACGAACAAAGGCCGTCCGCGGGGAGTTAAGCACTTGTTCCGCCGCGTGACTGCTCTCCCTTGCCTCTAAAGCGAGGGCACTATTGTTAAACTACCCTACAGACGATATTCATTGCACCAAATGTAATATTATATTCTAAATCAAATTTAGATGACACATGGACAAAGTTCCATTGTTTTGATACATAATAGTTAAACTTTCGACCAATAATATTAATATTTTCGTTAAATTGTAGTCATAAATTAATAAATTTTATCTTATTACATAAAACTGAATCAGATTTTATTAAACTCTACAATTATTATCTGTAAATTTTTTCAGACCGATGGGAGAAGGAAAAGGAAAACAAAAGATGCGCCAAGGGAAGACAGTGAGACTTAACATAAACGCTAGAGAAAGAAGACGAATGCATGATCTGGTATTTTATTATTATTTATTTGAATAAAAAAAAACGTTTTTTCGTATCTTAATTACGAAATAAGTTAACGTCACAATAAGTCATCAGGTCACATCAAAATTAAATAAGAATATTTGCTTATTCAACTCTGTATGATACGAATGAAATTGAAAAATGATCATTTTATATTTACTGGTAAACTTTCAGAATGACGCACTAGACGAACTCCGTGGTGTCATCCCTTACGCTCACTCGCCGTCCGTACGCAAGCTGTCCAAAATAGCAACCCTCCTCCTTGCCAAAAACTACATCCTAATGCAGGCTAGCGCTCTCGACGAGTTACGAAGGTAAATAAGTTTAAACATATTAACCCTTTTTTTATAAGATAAGGGGGCAAATAAGCTGTGGGAACATCGAGGTAATCAATGATATATGTACATGGACATCCGCAACACCAGAGGAACTGCAGATGCGTTGCTGGCCTTTACAGAAATGGTATCGCTTCTTGTAGGACCCTAAATCGTATTGATTTCGAAATAACGCCGAGGACAGATCTGATTTCAATTTTATAGAAAATGAGCAAGACATAAAAATTATTGAATGATCTACGAAAATCGGTTATGTACAGTCAACTCCATTCGCGTTAATGCAGTTATAGAAATCTGACTTAAACTTCGCAACAATTGGTTCGCCTGTGTTGGTGTTTGTTATTCACACATGATTACTATTTTACAGACTGGTAGCGTATCTTCAGAGCACAGCATCTGCTGCTGGCATCGTGCCTCCTCCTGGGTTCGATCTGACCGGTTTCCCCGCGGCTGCCAAGTTGTTGCAGTCCTCCACTGGCCCTCCCGCGCCCCCTGAGCCGCCATCTTGAGACCCAACTGTCAAACTAGAACCCTAAGTATTTTAATATAAGTATTCATGTATTAATCAAAATGTATATTATAAGGGTACTTTTTATAAAATTGACATGACATAGATACTAAAATATTTGATAATGATTGAAATTGGAGTAATGTTAATTGCCTACTAACAGTAAAACTTTCTTTTGTTTCAACTATAGAACTCTAGTTATCAAGCATTAACTTAGGACCTAACTACAAAAAAGTTGTGATTTAATTACATTTTAACTTAAACATACTATGTTAAAACCCTTTTATCGCACGCTGATATTAAATGTTACCAGAAATCATGATTATTGAAATCCTTATGCTTCGGCTTGAGCTTGACAAATAAATAACAAAGTACTTATGTATATCGGAAACATAACCACGTTAAGGTCCATATTATCAAACAGCGGCGGTCAAAGGGTTAAAACAGGTATCTAACTAAAAAGTCAACTGTTTTTTTAGTAATGAAATTAGTGTTTTAAGATAAATGATGATTACTCTACCATAAAGGATTTTTTACACAGATAATCTTAGCTACAAAGTAAATAGATATTTTACTTAACAAATTAGGTATTTATTAAAAAAAAGTATAGATTAATTAGTTTTTATAATAGTATTTAATTATATAATATAATAATTACGGCCATTGTAATAATTAAACTAGTATAAAAATATCTTATTCCATAAAATATAGAGCAGAATTGTAGAATAGAGTAATAATAATTAAGGACGTACTGACATTTTAAAATTTGTGGCATTTAAAAGTAATTTTAACTTTTCTTTAATTACCTAATTTATAAGTCTAACCGACTAATAATTATGAAATCTATAAGACTTGAGGTACAATCAAGTTTATATTCAGTGGGTCTAGAAAGAAAATTTGCTAGAAAGTATTTTGAATTGTACTTTTCGTCCGATAGAGGCGCTGAACAAATCCGATACATTTTTTGTCGATGTCGATATACTCCTTTGCAAATTTTCACAAAAATTACTGACACACAAAATTAAAACAATTTGAGCAGATTATATTTGAATATTTTTATTATAGTGTAGTTTAGCTACTTATTTACAATAAAAGAATTTTATTTTTATTGCCATTAGCGATAAATATTAACTTTATATTAAAATATAGATATAATACAATATGTTACGTATTAAAAACTATGATTATGTAATAGTAGCTGTCCAAGTCACAAATTGAAGAAATTGTATATATAAGACGTAAAATATAGCTCATATAATAATTATAATCTTAATAATAGATTATAAATTAAATTAAGAAAGCTAATTAAATATTTATAGCTGCAAAAGTTTTGTAGACTTAATTTTAAACTCAATAGATGGCGTTAGCAGTTCGTTATTATCTGTCACTTCAGTTTCTATTTAAATATTCAGATTTACTCAAATCTCATGAAATTTATAAATAACAAAACCAAGATTGATGTCAATTTTTATACCTGATAAATTATTTGTATAACCTAAAACCTGTAAACTTATACTAAGCCTTGAAAGCAATAGAAGTTAATTTTCTATTACGATATTTGTTATTTTCTTATTGTGAATGACATAATAAAAGCCTGGGAAAGACCAAAAAAATAATAGAAATACCTTTCTTTAACAACTGATATATTAAAATTTACTTTTGAATACACATAATTAATCTATTGATCTGATTAGGGTTAGATTTGTTCGTAAGTATTTTAAGTGACATAATTTGTACCGACATACTCATGTCAGTGCGTGTATTATGTCGGTATAGATATATGGTTGTTGTAAATATCTCAATGCGAGGATAACGAGTCCATGTGCCAAATCAAGTAGTGTCTGTAAATATGCTTTTATGTTAAGGAACAATAGACGTATTATTATAAGTATTTTAGTCATTCGAGTCCGTATTTAGTAGAAATAATGTTATTTAAAATAACTTTTTAGGTTATATGTGCTCATATTAAGCAGAAATATAATTTAGGATTTAGTGAAATGGAATTAGGTTTATAATTTTTATTAAGAATTTACTCGTCGGCCATGTAGCCATTTATAAATGGTAATTTGCATTTCGCTCAATATGATAAGTCCAGTGACCTGTTCGATTTACTTTTATTAGAAAGTAAACTACATGTGAAACTTTACCGAACATTAAGCGTGTTTTTCTGAATCCAAATCTCCGTATAAACATATTGTCATCTCTGTGTTGTCAAAAATAATGACAGGGATGACGACATGTTTGAAAGAGAGCTTTTGGACTTGGAAACCAACGATAAATGCATCAAAGTGCTGCCATACATCCATGCAAGCTTTTTCGTAGTAAAACTTCTTGGCAGATGTGCAGTTTGTAGTCTTTAATTTGTAGTTATCTTTAAATGAGATTTTTATAATGATTATTTTATTAATTTATACGAATATAATATAAAATAGATTGCAATTTTTAAGCTCAGATTACTCTCTTAATTAATTTTAATACAGATCATGTATAAATATTTATATAAATGATTTATTATGCCAAAGTAAATTGTGATTATTTCTAGGGTAATTTTTAAATAAGACCCATTATTGTGGAATTTAAAATAAACATATAGAAAGTGTACTTTATGATTGTTTTTTTATTCCCTTTACCTGAAAAACTCAATGACTTAACCTTTACCTACAAAGGCGCAAGGGCCCAGCACGAAAATTTGCGAGAAAGTATTCTTAACGTCATCGACAAAATTTGTTTGAGATTTGTTAGTGTATTTTATATCCGTTAGACTCGAGTATTTTTTTGGAAATTTTGTGCTAATCCCTGTTGTTGTTTTTAAACAGTTTAGTTCTGTTTATTTTAGTCAAGTCGAAATTAGAACCACTGTCTATTTACAGATTAGTCTGAATTTGGAACTATCTTTAAGTTGATAACAATACATAAGAAAACGTCTGATGCTCAACAACGAAATTATTTTTCATATTCAACACCTTTGAGTACAAGACTTGAGAGATGCTAATAATTGTTTTCTTTGCTGTGCCCCTTATCTTCAGAAGCAAAAGCAGATCTAGACCGTAAATGAGTCACTTGACACATAGCATAGAATCAAGTAAAATTGTAAAATCAATTTTTAGAACGCCCTTAATAAAAGCGCCCTCTTTAGACTGTTTCATAAAACTTAGAGAAAACCATGCTGAAAAACTGAGGGCAAAGAATAGTTATTTGATATGGATTTTTATATTGAGAACTTCGAGGTTGTTATTATATATTATATTATTTAAAATACATACGATGTTTTTGTCAAAGAATCATAACATAAAACTATTATATTAAAAATACATAATATGTAAAAGAGGTTGATGATATTTAATTAACTCAATATTTTTGTACAAAAATATTAATTTTACAGGCACAAAATAGTGTGTAACATCAGCTTATAATTTGTATTTAATTGATCTATCTGAATTTTACGACTTTTAACCGCTGTCTCATTGGATTTCAAAAGTTTTATTTGAATCCTTGCCCTTTGAGTTTTGTAACTACAGTCTGTATAAGCGTTTTGATAATATGACAATAGAGGGCGCTCACAGTCTACACAAAAGGTGAACCACACCCATGTTAACGATCGTGTCACTCTGCGTTCCGTATCACAAATAAAAAAATAAAATAGGGTAAAAAAAATCAATGGTTTTCTTTTATTTAGCAGCAACTTTTGTAATAGACATTTAAAATTATGAAAAAATTGATATTTTACATTGAATCTAATCTTTTGTAATATATGCAATTGTTTTATATAAATGTTGCAATTTCACGTTCACCTGATGCTTATAACTAGAATAATTTATTAATTTTAAACAATGAGGACTTCTCTCATCCTATAATCAGACATTTTAGATAATATGTGCTACATTTCTAAATGTTCTACTGCATTTTAATTTATTAGAGTCACTGGTACATTTCGCACCTACAGCTTAATATTTCGTTCAATAAATTATTTTTATTTTCGTACACTAAACTTTTTTCTAATGCTTCTTGTTTTTGTTTATTTTAATAAAAAGGCTGCGATGATAGGTTGAATAACGTAATATATACTAAGCTACTCCGTTCGATTTACAACGATCAATTTTAATTGAAATTATTTTGCAAAATAAAATGTTTTAACCATTTATAGACATACATGTTCTATTTATTAATAATAATTGGCACTATTATATTGTACAACAACACTATGTATTTTAAATAGAAATTCACTGGGAAATTGCAACCCGTGATGAATATAAGCGAACTTGAGGCGGTGTAGCACGAAATTTAATCTTCCCCCGTCTACCACCCCTAC